CAGTCATGGTATCGACTTCTCACTTAACAGATTGTGTGTCTTTAAGCATATAAGAACAACACCATGAGGACATTAACGAGGTAAAAGAATCCACCAGAGTGGGTCTTTAATCTCTTTAGGCAACCTTCTCTCATTACATAAATACATCTGAAAATGATTAAATCTGATTAGCATTTGAGTTTATATGGTTCAGAGTTGGAAAATGTGCATAGAAATAATGACCCGTGCACACAGTGTGAAGCAGAGCGAATGTACTTATTTACATTCTACAGCTGGTGTGGAACAGTTAAAAAAAGAGGCCAAAGTGGAATTCCTTCACACGATCAGCATGGATCTAATAGCAGCACAACGCTTTAACATGATGTGATACTGTAATGAAATCAGTCCTGGCCAGATGGACCTTGGACAGCATTTAGTTCATTTTAAACACACAAATAAACCCTTTTATCCGTTACTCTAACCTCGCTCTATCCACCACCTACACCTTCTTTCACAACCGTGTCCAGAAAGACTGCCATCGCTACATTTCTGCAGTGGAAATCTTTTGAATTTTTAGTATTTTGTTTCACCATGTTCACACTAAAAGCAGACGGATTGCTTTCATGACCAAATAATGACGAACAAGTTCAGGCACAATTACTTCATTCAGCGCTGCATTTGAACAGTTATCCAACCCCATCAGAGCAAACCTGTGCAAGGTTACACAATTTCATAATCATTTCAGCTTGCACTCTAGAAATATTACTCGTTTAGTTTCAACTCCGTGTTGCATTTCAGCTCGTATATGGTTATTAAATGATTATTGTTTTTGAGGAAATTTATACTGACTTTAAATTGGGAATTTTATTATGAGGTCAAATACTGTCAATATGAAGTTTTATTATTATTACATGAACAACACCAAAATGTAAATAAACAGTACCTGCCGTAAAAACATTATTCGATAAATTATATGATGATGCATATTAAGATGTCAACTGAAAAAAAATGCCAAAATTAAATTTAAAAAATCTAAATTAATTAAATTAATTATAGTTTAATAATAATTATATTATTGCGTATGTATAATGAATCAAAAATAAAATAAAATAAATAATTCAATAAATTTTGGTGATGTGGTTATACATATGAAGTCAACTGAAGTGAAAACAAAAGTGAAAATTTAATTAAAATTCCATTAAAAATGTGTCACAATTAACTTGATTAGAACTT